CTAGGATTTGGAAGAATGACAAAAACAATTACGGGTAAGAAATTGGACGGAAGACGTGTGAAATTCGGTAGAAAGACGAAAGAAGCACAAAGCTTGATGATGGCGCAGACTCGAAAGTGTTAAATAGTTTCGCTATTGTCTATTTTCGGTTCCATTGTTCAACCTTTTGTGCAAATATTCAAACAATGATACTTTTTAAAAGTCAACGACTCTGCCCCGTTCCTCTACTCAAAACAGATGTGCAATGATAGATTGGGGGGGACTGAAAACATATAACAAGCCTGTTTTAAATCGTTTAACCCCCCCTCCACTTGTTTCTAGTCTTCAAATATTAGTACTACTAACAACAAAAATAGTAACATAAATCGGTTAATATTTCCTAATGTCCGCCGTTTTTAACCACATTTTGTTAATGTTTTCTAAATGGTAGCAAAAAAAAACAAAAAAAAACACGTACATAGTTGTGTTAACTATGCCGCTAGGACAGTAGTTCACAAACTTTTTTTCCTCTTTTCTACAGTTGCGAAATAAAAATTTGCTCGGGCCTCACACATCTTTATGTGATAAAAAGTATTTGAAAATAAAAAAATAGAGAGTGTTAAGGAGAGATAATCGCGAGTTCGATGTTAGAACATTATAATTGATAATTCTCTCCTCAAATTTGCGGACCCTAGTTACTATATTCTTAACACTTGATATAATGCAAAAATATAAAAAAAAAAAAACGAACATTTTATACTAATTTTGGTACAGTATGCAGTATTGCTTTTGTGAAGCCCTTCACTAGCAGCAGTGAACGATCGAGAATGTCTAAGGTGAATGATTCTTTTGACTCTCACCTAAAATTAGTTGATATAACCAAGAACCGGGATATTAAGGCGTATTATCAACACCTCCGAACATTAAGGGAATTGATAATTATCAAAGTAGGAAAATTAATGTTGTATTCGTTCTTCCAGCCCAAACAGGCGGCTCATGAAAGCGACCCCGACTCGTCATCACCACCAGTAATTACTACAGTGACGCACCACTCACGGCAATTTCAGGGTAAAAATAGACTATCACAGCAACGTTTAAAGGTAAGTTTAGGTAAACTTTAAAAATTTCCAAACTTTATTTAAAGATATATATTAAGTTAAAAATGAAATACACATACATAAACACTGTATTTATATTTATCTGAAATAATATTGGATTGTACTGTTTTTCGGTCTACGTAAGGAAATGCTTCAAACTAAAGGAGAAACGGCTTTATATATATATATATATATATATATATATATATATATATATATATATATATATATATATATATATATATATATATATATATGTATGGGGAAGAGCCTATAGTTGTCCCAACGAGAGAAAAGTGTATATTTTAAAAAGAAGAGAGAAACCGCAAACGTTTTAGGTTCTAATGTGAATTTTATTATAAATATATATCATGCTTTATTTTCCATATTTTTTTTAAAACGTGTTTCGGGTCTTGCGACCTTCTTCAGTCAAAGATGGATATTTCCACATATTATTAAAATGAATTAATTTTCCTTTATTTTTTCGATGTTAAACATTCTCTTTTTTTTTTTTTTGTATGGCAGTGACACAAAAATTTTTCTTGGATTTCTTTATATATAATATTATCATTATTGATATCATTCATGCATGTTATGTTTCTTACTTTGTATCCTGTAGAGCCGGGTTCAAACTATGGTCCTTATGCCTTACAGGAGAATTGTCCTCGAGGTCATATCTTCTTCATCAGATAAGGCCAAGTATTTCGCCCAAATTCTTACTCTAACTCAACATTGGAGGACATTGACCATGTCCTTCTCGACTTCCTCCGTCTCACCGAGCAAAATCTCTGTATTATTTTTTAGTACAGCCCGAAAAGTCACTAGACTTATCAAAAGTCTAATTCCTAAAAACGCTACAGACAAAATTGCAGTGGCTCTCCTTAAGGATCTTAAACTGGAATTATCACCGATCTTAGCGAAATTATTTAACTGCTGCTTGAAGGAGAATTGCTTCCCAATTCTGTGGAACGTGTCTAGCATATACCCGGTTTTCAAGATCGCGAGAGAGAACTCATACCTCTTTCAGTATAGACCTATCAGTCTCCTCAGTGTTATTAGCCACATTTGGGGGCGATAATCAATAAGACGTTTATTGAACACCTAAAGAGGAACAACCTCTTCAGCGACAAGCAGTACGGATCCCGACCGGTCAAATCCACTGTTGATTTCCTAACTACCATTAATCACGGATTCAAATATATCTCAAGTATCATGAAATTAGATATTTCAAAGGCCTTTGACAAGGTGTGGCATAAAGGATTGCTGGACAAATTCTCTAATTATGGAATCACTGGAAGATTCTTCTCAATATCTAAGTCCTTCGTAACGAGAAGGTCACTGAAGGTAGTTGTTAACGGCCAATCCTCCGGGACCTAGCAATCAACACAATCGTCCCCCAGAGGACACTACTCGGACCAACCGTCATTTTACTTTACAACTGCCTAGGGGTATACTCCGATCATTTGGGAATATATATACAGATTATGCAATGGTATATGGATGCAACTAGAAACTCCAGATGACCAGAGATTGGCAGTTAATCTCTCTGTCGATCTTGCTTTCATATCTCAGTCGGGGAAAACTGGTTAGTTATATTGGTTTGTTTTGATTTGTTCTACGGCCTATCAACACCTCAATCGGTTGTTTAATGCCGATATGATCTTTATTGCTAGTAATATTTTTTTTAAATATATTGTCGGTAATATTTTTTTCAAAAATATATTGCTGGTAAAATTATTTTCAAAAATGTATTGCTGGCATTTTTTTTCCAAAAACTTATTGCTGGTATTAAAACCTAGTTTCATACTTTCATAGTGTTTTGACCCCTTTTGGAGGGTTAACTATTTGCCCATAGTTGAGACCCTGACACGTGCTACGACCCAGGGTCTGGGTGGAGCGGGGATCAACTGCAATTAATAGGTGGTTACACGGTCCTCAAAATCTTCTGATCAAAAGCCTTGCTGTCGGATGTAGTTTATCTTCTTACATAGGACGCGGATGTAGTTTATCGTCTTACCCGGGACGCAGGTGTAGTTTATCGTCTTACCCAGGACGCAGGTGTAGTTTATCGTCATACCGAGGACGCAGATGTGGTTTATCGTCTTACCCAGGACGCGGGGGTAATTTATCGTCTTACCCAGGACACTGATGTAGTTTATCGTCTTACCCAGGACACTGATGCAGTTTATCGTCATACCCAGGATGCGAATGTAGTTTATCGTCATACCCAGGACGCAGGTGTAGTTTATCGTCTTACGCAGGACGCGGATGTAGTTTATCGTCTTACCCAGGACGCGGGTGTAGTTTATCGTTTTACCCAGGACGCGGATGTAGTTTATCGTTTTACCCAGGACGCGGATGTAGTTTATCGTCATACCCAGGATGCGGGTGTAGTTTATCGACTTACGCAGGACGCGGATGTAGTTTATCGTCTTACCCAGGATGCAGGTGTAGTTTATCGTCTTAGGCAGGACGCGGATGTAGTTTATCGTCATACCCAGAACAGATGCTTATATTCAAAGCCTCTAAAACTAAACTAGTCGCCGATCGGACCTTGAACTATCAGCAGTCACTTTGAATAGATGTTGGCAATGTTATGGGAGCATCCGGGCTAAAATATATTTCCAAAATAAACTTTAGGAATAGTTGTCTGAGTATAACTTTCATTTTACATTTGGAATACAGAGGGAATGAGGAATCTCTGGAAGTAACATGGTGCGTCCTAACTGCAAATACTTGAATTGGTGGCACTAAAGAATGGAGTTGATCTGAACATTTGCCATGGATCTGTTATGGGCGTGTTCTTTAACGCATATATCTTTTGTATTATTAATGATTCAAGAAAACAACGAAACTCCAAATGTGAATCAACAAGTATATATTGGAATAACATACAAGAACAAAATATACAATAACTTTTATTCAATGTATAGATTAAGGGCAAAGAAGTTGCTTCCCTTTTACCGTATTTAGAGAAAATTATTGAAGAAATCAATTTTAGAACAAATCTGCTGTTAGAATAGATAACACAAGAATACAATTGATCAGAAAGTGTGTTGTGTTAGAGAAATCAACAGAGTCCTGGTTGATTGAACTTAGATGAGTCACAGATATATATATATATATATATATATATATATATATATATATGTGTGTGTGTGTGTGTGTGTGTGTGTGTGTGTGTGTGTGTGTGTGTGTGTGTGTGTATTACAAAACCCTGTGCCTGTGTATGCGTTTGAAATGTAGTGAGAAAGTCATAGATTTGTGTTGACAGGCGAAATTTGCTGGACGCTACTGGCGGCTTGTGACAAAGTCGCCTCTTTTAAAGCTACAGAGGGGTTCCCAGCGAAAACCCGGGAAAAGTTGATTTTGCACTAAAATATGTGATTGGTTAAAAATCGCTAAATATTTACGAATGAAACAAGTAAGCAAGTTCAAAACCTGAAAATTCAAAGCAACGACTGCGATGGCTAAATTGTCCTATAGAAAGGCTGTATTGATTTATTAGCCAATCGCAGACGAATAAAATGTGGGTGTGGAAAAAACATAGCATCACTACAGATCCAATAAGAAAGAAACAATAGGTCTGAAACGTTGCGTCTGCGGGAAAGAAACAACAGAATTCTACGATTTTGAACTAAAAGTGTGGTTTGAACAGCTCTAGCCCAGATGTGGCAGCAGTATTCCATTTTTGGCCTAATCTGACTCTTGTCATGACAAAGCATGGTAGAAGTTAATACAAGAGAAGGATACGGACATTTTTGTAGCATTTGCAGTAGTTTCATATAACTACTACAAATGCTACAAAAATGTCAGTTCAGGTTGACGACTTGAGTCAACCAGAGAAACAATAGTGAAAAGGCGGTGACTTGATTTTTGAGGAACTGAACAATATCAACCAGTGTTTTCCATTGAGATTTTCGATTAACTGCAAGACTTATATAAGATAGATAGATTGATATATAGATATTGTCTAGTTTTACATAGATAGATAGATTGATAGATATGAGAAGACTGAAATATATATATATAAAAACAGATTAAGATATGAACAGACTGAGATAGTTAGATAGATGAATGGTGAAACTAAGATATATAAATATATATATATATATATATATATATAAACAGAGATAGATAGATAGATATGAGCAGAGATAGATAGATAGATAGATAGATAGATAGATAGATAGATAGATATGAAAATAGTGAGATAGATAGATATATAAAACAGACTAAGATATGAACAGACTGGGATAGAAAGATAGATAGATAGATAGATATGAACAGACTAAGATAGATATATATGAACAGAGATATAATAGATAGATATACAGACTAAAGATATATATATATATATATAAACAGAGATAGATAGATAGATAATGATAGATGAATAGATAGATAGATAGATAGATATGAATAGACTAAGATAGATATGAACAGACTTAGATATAAACAGACTGGGATAGATGATAATAGATAGATAGATAGATAGATAATAGATAGAATAGACTAAGATAGATATGAACAGACTTAGATATAAACAGACTGAGATAGATAGATAGATAGATAGATAGAGATAGATAGATATGAACATAGAATAAGATATATGATAGATATGATAGAATGATAGATAGATATAAACAGACTAAGATATATACTATATATATATATAAAAACAGAGATAGATAGATCGATAGATAGATAGATAGATATGAACAGATAGATAGATAGATATATAGATATGAACAGAGATAGATAGATAGATAGATAGATAGATAGATAGATAGATAGATAGATAGATAGATATGAACTGAGATAGATAGATAGATAGATATGAATAGACTAAGATAGATATGAACAGACTTAGATATAAACAGACTGAGATAGATAGATAGATAGATAGATAGATAGATAGATATGAAAAGACTGAAACAGATATATATGTTCCACAGAGGAACGTTCGGTTAGCAAGGTCGGTTTTACTGTTTTTAAACACAATTCTCCATGATTTTCTCTCATTCATTCACATCTGCTCAATGCGTATCCAAATGTAAACAAACGAAGTCATACATTATGACATGGACAAGGTCCGACAATTATTTAAGACATTTTTTTTTTAATATTTATACGTTCTTTTTATAGATACAAATATTTAAGTAAATGCTCTGTTTATAATAAACAGTATTAACAACATTTACCGGCCTGGAAAAAAAATACGCCGGAATTAAATGGCCAATTGTGGTTGATATATCGTAGAAAAAAACAAACCAGACCAAACCAAACTATAAACAAATAGTCGTGCCAGCATACAACACACATGGCCTGAAGATTTCGTTGAAGTATGAAAGAGATTATTGCTGCTCGATATAAACCTAAGTGGGCACTTTTATATTTACATACGCTCTATTCCTGATACTGGGTACATTTACCCATGCATATAGCATCGCTTAAAACAATATTTGTATCATATATATATAGTTGAGTCTGATTCGGAATCTCTTTGTCGCCGAGGCCCATTTGGTACAGTTGGTATGTTGTTCGCTTGACAACCCAACTATCAGGGTTTCGATACTTGGTGGTGGATGCCCACTGCTGATGAGTCCCAATTATAGGACGGAACGTCCGTCCAGTGCTTCCTCTATTCCTGTTGAGGTTTCTATCAGACTCAATGAATTAATTAAATATATATATATATACATATGTGTGTGTGTTTATGTGCGTGCGTAGGAGTGTGTGTGCGTATGTGTGTGTAAATATGCGTTTTAAAATGTTATATTTAGATGGGATGAGTGCTTTGTATCAATGTATCGAAGATAACTTTAGTAGCTATAGAGAGTGTGGACATAGAAATCATCTCTGCATAACGACTGGCAGTTTCACGCTTCAAACAATCTTGAAATAATATGAAACGCTTCCTTGCGCGCGCATTTGAAATGAGCGAAGGGAAAAAAAAACAAAAAAAATTAGCGCTTGTCATTGGTTTTTGGGTTAGGCTAGTCTTTTAAATTATTTATAGCCTCGATCTGGAGTTAGTTGATTTTATTATTTGTTTATCTCATTTTATTTTCTGTTTTGTTTATTTATTTCACATATTTAATTGCATTATTATATTTTTTAATTTATTTAATTACATTATTATATTATTTTTTTGTAATTTATTTAATTATATTATTATATTAATTTTTTAAATGTTATTTGGAATGAAATTTATTATATATAAGGCATGGGATTTTATTGAGGCTTTTTTGGTTATAATGTCAATAGAGGAAGCATGAAAGCAAAATGTTTTTCTGTTTGTATTTAGAAATCAGATCCATTGTTTTCGTGATTTTTATTTTCTACTTTGGACAAAAGATACATTGTGTTTAATTATTGTTTAGTGTAAGTGTTGTTTTTTAACATCCATATATTTTTGTGTAATTTGTTTTGTATTTTTGATGTCATCTATCTATCTATCTATCTATCTATCTATCTATATATATATATATATATATATATATATATATATATATATATATATATATGTATGTATAATTTATGTTAGGATATTAAAACGTTAAAACTCGCTACATAAAGGCAATTATATATATATAATTTTTTTAGGATATAAAACATGTTAAAATCGCTATATAATGGCAATTATGTTTCAACTCTACAAATGTGTCTCTTCGGGCGATGATAAACTACTGGTGAGTGAAAGATTAATTTAACGTTACACACAATGGAATTATACTTCATTTGTTCTCATTTTACATATATATATATATATATATATATATATATATATATATATATATATATATATATATATATATATATATATGTGTGTTATTAGTAGTAGTAGTATTATTACCAAATGTTATTTATAATGAATACTCGTATTTCAGTAGACACTTTTTATTTATTAAACAGTTCATTTATTTATTCTATATTCGACAAGACATATTATAGAAAAAATATGCGCTCTAGTAAGGATTTTCGAATATTCATGCGGATAAACGAAAATAATTATATGTACTGCTTTATAAATAAACAGAGCATCAACTGATATGCCCATAACTTTTACTATTTAAAATGTGTGTGTGAATGTATATATATATATATATATATATATATATATATATATATATATATATATACATGTTTCATTAAATAATATAGACAAATGTTGTCTATTTATTTTATGTAAATTCTTTTCATAACGTCTGATGAGCTTAATAGCATTATCATTAAACGAAGAAAATTACAATACTGATACATATTTTTTAATCCAATCTAAGCTTTCGGCTTATATTAGCCATTATCAAACATGACAATTACATTACAATATATTAAGCAATACACGGACAAGAATGTGATGATTGTCTGTTTCTGTTTACATGGATGATTTCCAAGCAACGACAAACTCGTGCATATAAGACACTGGAAGCGAAAATCGCATCGCAGCTCATGACGCAATTTCCTTCAGTTGGTCCGGGGTAGTTATTTCTTTTAGTTTATAGTAGATGTCCTGTTTGTTGCTGTTAAGAGTGTTCAATTTTTCCTTGGCTATTTCAATTTGCCTTTTCACAAGGCTACGTGTATAATTCCAGATATTGATAGTATTGTAGGCTGCTGGATCATGTAATTTATATTGTGTGTATTTAGGCAGAATTTTTTCATTCTTACATGATCATTAAATAATATAGACAAGTGCTGTCTATTTATTTCATGTATTTATAATCAATTCTTCTTACACGAATAACAACTTAAAATCTTTCCATCAAAAATCACAGGATATCACAGTTACAAAAAGTTTTCTTTATAATTTACTCCTGAGGATGATCTTCAAGCAGATGGAAAGTACTTGTGTAGGAAAAAACTACGGCGCCTTCCTGTTTGATTTTCACCTTAACATCAAGAGATTGATTAGATAACTGGAAAGCATCCGTATAAAAATAAATAGACCCATTTTTCTTTAAGCGTTTCAAGGCGGGAAACCACTAGCACGGAAGGGGTTACAGAGAGTTGGAGCGAGAGCAAAGAAGAGTGATAGAGAAAATGATGAAGAGAAGGTTAGGGGATAGATCAGGGCATCTGGAGACACCCATTGACATTACATTTGAATAGTTGGAGATTATAGATATCAGGGAAACCGGAAAAGTGGAGGGAGTTCCACAGGCGAGAAGTGCGAGACATGAAGCTACTGGAGTAGAAGAGACGTCTACATTTAACAGTTTCGACAGTGAAAGGGTGAGAGCGGGATGCCAGCCAAGTAGAACGCTTAAATTCATGGAGTCTGGGAATCAGCGAAAACAGCTGATCGGAGCAGTTATCGTGAAAGTATTTGTAAAAAAAAGACAGGTATATATTATTCATTGAAAAATACTTGAATGAAGATATGCTGCCTAAATACACACACACATTCACATATATTTGAATATTTAGTTTTGTATCCATGTAACTTGAAATAAGCAGTTACAAAACAATGGCAAATTATAGGGGATTATTATCCGAATTCAACAAATGAATTAACGAATTTTACACGAGTTCTAGATTGGGCCACGGCCGATATCCTCTTCTGCATTTTTTTCCCTCCTGTTATGGCAATCTCTAAGTTTGTCTCGGTGATGTTAGTAATGTTTGGCTCCTTCTTTTCTTTTCTTTTTTTGCACTTCGACCAATTTCTGACACATCTAATATCTTCGAGGCGAGAAGTACTTCTATATGTGTGTCTGGAACTCAAGTCAAAGCAGAAGGTTCGAAGGAATAAGAAAAATAATAAGAAAGAATAATCTCTGTAAAGGAATGAGGAAAATTCAACACCACTTTAAAATGAGAGCTTGGGGGGCGGTGAGGGAAAGAATTTTAACTAGCATGTCATTTCTAAGCTGTGAGATTTTTCGAGGTGTGAATGGGGTCGTAATTCTCGTAAACTTATAGGCATTGTGTGACGGGAGGCACTTCAGTAGAGGTAGGCAGTGTGGCTTTAGAGGAAACAAGACGGCAAGGATTAGTTTTCTGCTATTTTTTTTCAAAGACATGGTAATATGCGGCGAAACTATAGTAAGCCATTTGCCAAGACCTTAAATATTCATTTTTTAACTATTTTATTGACTTTTCCGTTCATGGTCATCCATTTTTATAGACATTTATTTATTATCTATCAACATTTTATAAACATTTAATAGATAAACATTTATACAAATGACTCGTACTTCTCTCACTTATTCTTTCTCTCCTTCAATTTCTCTCTCTCTCTGTATCTCTCTCTGTCTCTCCATATATATATATATATATATATATATACGTGTGGTGGGGTCTGTGTAAAATTATATATATCTATATATATATATATATATATATTATAAAGAATTTATTGGTCAATGTTGAAATAGACTAGAAAACAGTAGTATTCAAAAGTGCTCAACACACATATAAAAAGATAAAAATTTAACATGTAGAGCCTTTATGTATAGAAAATTAGGAAATCAGCCGAATCCATTACCTTAGTTTCAATTTTTTGGTATCTTCAGGCGATTTTGATCAGTTGATTTCCTAAAGCTTTATTTTTAGAAATAAAAAAAAATTAATGAGCTCTATATTAAAAAAAGTTATATGAATAAATGCACGACGTGAAATGTGGTACAAGGTGAGGGAGAAGACAAGAAGGTGTAGGGGAAAGTCTAGTGTATTGGAAATGGATTAAATGACATTTACCTACGTTCTTTTCATCCCACTTCAAATGAACTCAAAAGGAACTTTTTAGTATGTATGCTAAGGGACATAATTCCGATTAAAAGTTCTTTTCTGTCTGTAAATGTTATTATAGCTAATTTTTCTTGAAGACAATTGTTGCAGATATTGCTATGATTGTGGTCATTTTGCTTTAGAAAAAAATTTTCCAGTTTACAATCTGACCATTTTTTATTATATATATATATATATATATATATATATATATATATATATAAAATTAATTTTAAATATGATTCCATCGCTACATAAGAGTTGTCATCTTTCAAAAACGGAAGCTAAAAACTTCAATTTAATGTATATATATGTGTGACGTCGTTCCCCGGTCGCAGCGTCGACTGTGTCGTTCGATCCCGGTCGCGGCGCCACCAGACGTCACGTGCTCCCCAGGCTCTGATATCCTGGTCACGGCACTAGTTGTGACGTCGTCCCCCGGTCGCAGCGTCGATTGTGTCGTTCGATCCCGGTCGCGGCGCCAACTGTGACGTGTTTGCCGCGGCGTCAGCTGTTCGCTCCTCGCTGCTCCAAACGCGACGTTCTAACCCTTTGGTTAGATTGATACCAGCCTCGCCATTCTCAACCCCGCTTCCAACGCCTGGTTACCAGGGTAACTGCACTGATCTCCAGTCTGCCTACCCACGTTGTGAATTGGTCTTAACAGACGAGATCAAACAGGGTTAGAAGCCGTAATGCAAGTTGAGTCTAACAGGGGTGATAACACACAATTATGTATAAAAGAAAATAAAAAAAACTCACAAGGTCCAACGTATCAAGAAAAAGGTAACAAACTTTTATGTCTAATTGCTCAGTACATAGGACTATGTCTACTTCCCGACCCGTTCTGTGGATTGTGGCACGACGCTTTTACTAGGCAACTTTAAGGCTTCAAGTTGTCTGCTCTCTAAGAAATTTGTGTTTTGGTGTGTCTTTGGACGAAAGTCGAAAAAAAACTTATTTCTGTGGTCTGATTCTAATTCGTTCTTCAAAGTACTTGTTCTTGGTTGAAGAAGAGTCCAGAAGTGTGCGTGAATCTTGGTCAGCTATCTTGACGCGGTTTCAACACTGGGCGCTCATCTCTGCTTGTCGTCCACGGCTGAACTCTTTCGCCGTCCGTGGCTCAACTCAAACTTCTTCTCTTCAGAGTCTGAATTACTGGTCACTCATCTCCGCCGTCGGTGCGCGAACTAACTTCTTCTCTTCAGAGTCTGAATTACTGGTCACTCATCTCCGCCGTCGGTGCGCGAACTAACTTCTTCTCTTCGGCTTGGGTCGGACGAACTTCTTCACTTCGGCTTGGGTCGGACGAACTTCACTTAGGCCCAACGAACTGGCCTCTCTTGACCGCAAAGGGGCGAACGAACCTGGCCCGCCGTCCGCGGCTCAAACTGATTTCTGTCGGTTGGGGTTTCGCTTTTATTGACGCAGGTGGGTCTGTCGGCGCCAGGGGTTTCTTCGATAATTCTAAATACGTATCCACCCTTCTTATTTCTGGTTAGGGATTTTCCATTTTCGGTAACTCACTCTCACTCCCACTTCCTTACTGTGCCTCTGAGGGGCGTATACCCGCTTCCCCGCTTCTTCGTATCGGCTCCTTACACTTACACTTCTGACAGGGGCGTCGACCGATTCTCCTCGTGCGTCACGTGACCGCTCTCGGCCAATGAGGTCCTGGTCGGGTATCTTTCCTCCTCCTTCGTGTGTCATGTGATCTTATTTAGCCAATGACGTCCTTAGTCGGGCGTGGACAATCCGTGGCTTTGTTTTGGGGAAAGAAACACCTTGCTTAAA